ACAGTGCCCAGAATCTCCGAGTGACACAAGTTCCGAACCCATGCAGAACATCAGAACATCGTCGGGTAAAATGGCCCCAAGCTAACAAGGAGAAGGAGTGACTCCAGTTTGAAGAAGACACCAATACCATCTTGGAAGCAATAGTCAAGGGTAATGCCGATCGACGCCTCCAGACAATGACCACCATCATCATCAGCCTAGCAGCTGAGAGATTTGGACTGGAGGAGGAAAAAGCAGTGAACCTCCCCTACATCATGGCCAACAGGGCAAACAAGATCCACCAGCTTAGGCAAGAGCTGAAGAGCCAGAGGAGGAGGTTCAAGGAGGCGAGGGAGGAGGAGAGGGGCCCTCTAGTAGAGCTGCGCACCATCCTCCGCAAGAAGCTCATCACTCTGAGGAGAGCGGAGTGGCACAGAAAGAGGAGGAAGGAGAGGGCCAGGAAGCGGGCTGCCTTTACAGCAAATCCTTTTGGGTTTACAAAGCAGCTACTTGGGAAGAAGCGGAGTGGCCAGCTTACCTGCTCTAAAGCAGAGATCGACCGCCACCTCAGAGACACCTTTTGTGACAGTTCCAGGGAGCAAGATATGGGCCACTGCCAGTACATGATTGATCCACCAGCACCAACTGTGGACTTTGATGGGAAGGAGCCCAGCTGGAAGGAGATCCAGGAGGTGATCAAAAAGGCCAGAGCAAGCTCAGCCCCAGGACCTAGTGGGGTACCGTACAAGGTTTACAAGAACTGCCCGAAGCTTCAACGCAGGCTCTGGAAGATCCTGAAAGTTATATGGAGGAGGGGAAAGGTTGCTCAGCAGTGGCGGTTTGCAGAAGGGGTGTGGATTCCAAAGGAGGAAGAGTCGAAGACAATCGACCAGTTTAGAAGCATCTCACTACTCAGTGTTGAGGGGAAGATATTCTTCAGCATCGTTGCTAGGTGGCTGACCGACTTCCTCCTAAAGAACTTGTATATTGACACTTCGGTCCAGAAAGGAGAGATCCCGAAGGTGCCGGGGTGTCTTGAGCATACAGGCGTCGTCACACAGCTGATCAGGGAAGCCCGGGAGAACAAGGGGGACCTGGTGGTGCTGTGGTTGGACCTCACAAACGCCTATGGGTCCATACCCCACAAACTGGTTGAGGAGGCTCTGCGCCGGCACTACATCCCAGACAGGTTTAGAGATCTAATTCTGGACTACTACAACAATTTCAGTCTGAGAGTCTCTGCAGGGTGTACAACATCAGACTGGCACAGGCTCGAGAAGGGCATTATCACTGGGTGTACAATATCAGTGATATTATTCGCACTCGCCATGAATATGCTGGTGAAGGCTGCAGAGGTCCAGTGTAGAGGTCCCCTCACCAAGTCTGGTGTCCGCCAGCCACCCATTAGGGCTTTCATGGATGATCTGACGGTGACAACACCACATGTCCCAGGGGCCAGGTGGATCCTGAAAGGCCTGGAAGAGATAACTACCTGGGCTCGTATGTGCTTCAAGCCAACAAAGTCTAGATCGCTGGTGTTGAAGAAAGGTAAGGTTTCCAACAAGTTCCGCTTCACACTTGGCACGACCCAGGTACCATCAATCACTGAGAAACCAGTGAAGAGCTTGGGGAAGGTGTTCGACTGTAGCCTGAAAGACACAGCAGCCATCTGTGCAACCAACCTTGAACTGGAAGGCTGGCTAGCTGCAGTGGACAAGTCAGGCCTACCTGGCAAGTTCAAGGCTTGGATTTACCAACATGGCATCCTCCCACGGATTCTCTGGCCCCTCCTGATTTATGAGGTCCCAATCTCCACCGTCGAGGGCTTTGAGAGGAGAGTCAGCAGGTTTCTTCGGAAGTGGCTGGGCTTACCTCGAAGCCTGAGCAGCATCGCCTTGTACGGCCAGAACAACAAGCTGAAGCTCCCTATCAGAAGCCTGAATGAGGAGTTCAAGGTGGGTCATGCCAGGGAGGTGCTGCAATACAGAGAGTCACAGGACCCGAAGGTCTGCCATGCTGGGATTGAGGTGAGGACAGGGCGGAAGTGGAGGGCAGCAGAGGCGGCGAATGTGGCTGAGTCATGGCTACGGCACAGGGCACTGGTGGGAGCAGTGACTCATGGTAGAGCTGGCTTGGGTAGCGGCACAACATCCTGTTACAACAAGGCACAGGAGAAGGTCAGGAGATCACTGGTGCAGCAGGAGGTGCGGGCAGCAGTAGAGGAGGAGCGGGCCAGCAGGATGGTTGGAATGCAGCAGCAGGGAGCCTGGACAAGGTGGGAGCATGTAGTGGACCAAAAGGTCTTGTGGACAGCGCTGTGGAAAGCGGAACACCATCGCATAAGGTTCCTGATTCAGGCTGTCTACGATGTACTACCGAGCCCATCCAACCTGTTCACCTGGGGATTGGTGGAGTCACCAGCCTGCAACCTCTGCCTAAAGAGAGGGACCCTGGAGCATGTCCTCAGTTGCTGTTCGAAGGCACTGGGTGAGGGGCGCTACCGGTGGCGCCACGACCAAGTTCTGAAGACTATAGCGAGTACCATCAGCTGTGGGATTGGCCACTGCAAGCGCCTCCGCCCAGTTAAGAACACCATTGCTTTCGTCCGGGCTGGGGAGAAGCCACCAGTAGCTGCCAGGGCCACCTCATCTGGCCTGCTAGCAACAGCACAAGACTGGGAGTTGAAAGTCGACCTGGAGAGGCAACTTAAATTCCCAGAAACTGCCGCCACTACAACGCTGCGGCCTGATATGCTACTCATCTCAGAGTCCTCCAGGCAGATCGTTCTCTTGGAACTCACTGTACCCTGGGAGGACCGCATCGAGGAGGCCAATGAGAGAAAGAGGGCAAAGTATGCTGAGCTAGTGGAAGAGTGCCGGAATAATGGGTGGCGAGCACGATGTGAGCCCATTGAGGTGGGATGCAGAGGGTTTGCTGGCCAGTCTCTCTGCAGGGCCTACAACATCCTGGGCATCGTAGGGGCCAGTAAGCGAAGGGCTATTAAAGAGGTCACTGAGTCAGCAGAAGTTGCCTCAAGGTGGCTGTGGATGAGGAGAGGAGAACCATGGGTGGGGTAGAGCTACCTGGACACAAGTTGGGGCCTGATCAACCCCAGCTGGGTCGCCTGGGGGAGAGTGTATGAAGCTTGAAAGACCCGAAACACTCCGTGATCCCAGGTAACATCACTGATGATGTGTCCAGGTTGCATCAAGTTGATGTATGTTACAAGTAAATGAAAAAGTTAATAATTGTATTTTATTAAAAAATATTTTTTGGTTCGATTTGTATATTTTTTGATTAGATCATATAGCATTTAAAACTGTCATATTGTCTCACATGTTACAATGTACCCCACCTATGGGGCATGTTGTCAAATTTCAACATTTCTTTCAGAGTAAATCAAGAAAAAAATATACACTGTATTAATAAAACAAAACCACATAATTGTTCTAGACATGGGAAATTAATGTGGGAAAAAATAAAATACTCCAAATAGATTTGCACAAACTGAGACTTTCTCACAAAACTGAGACTGAGACTTTTCTCACAAAAAGTGTTACGTTGTGCCCCGCTCTCCCCTATGTGAGATTCAACACATTGTTTCTGTTGTGTGAATGTGTGGAATTTCTTTGAATTGACATGAATTTAATTCCACTTCCTGTCATTCCAATTCAAATTCAACTTCTTGGGGGCGGAGTCAATTCAATTCAAATTCCAATTCATGAATTGAATGGAGGCCAATTCTGAAATTCAGAATTTTGCACAAGCCTGCAAGGGATAGGTGAAGGTGACTTATTTTCATGGAAACTAACAATAGTGACTATGGGAACAAAAGTGGTACAGTAACAAGGAACACAAAGGGGACAGAAAACACTTTAACTTAAAAGTCCTTTATAAAAAGGGAAACCCGGGGAAACTTGCAAATTTGGTGAATGGGTTTATTAGTTATGAGAAACATATTTTTACAGATGGTTCAAAAGACCGAAAATCAGTAAACACTGGCTCTGGAGTAGTAGTTTTCAGCCAGGGATAAGAGATATGCAAATAGACTGCAAATAATTTGAGTGTATACACTGTTGAATTGTATGCCATCCTCATAGCTTTAGAATAAGTTGAACAGAGCGAACTAGACAACGTTCTTATTTGTAGTGTGATTTAGTTGTGTAGTCTGACCAGAAATAATAATCAATCAGTTATTTTATGAAATGATGAGTAAGCTATCCATTCAAAAACTAACCAGAATGGTACTAAAGTTGTATTAATTTAGATCCCTGCACATAAACGAATAAATGAAAGAGTTGACAAATTAGCCAAACAAACTTTGAAAAAAGAAATTATAGACATGGACATCAGACATTCAGGACCAGAAGGTAAGAATATTGTTTGGGAAAAAGTTATCAAAGAATGGCAGAAAACATCTGTATTTGATTAAACAAAAGAGTTGGTGCAGTGGAAAGCAAAAGGGGGAACAGAAGAGAGGAAACAACCATGAACAGATTAAGAACAGGACACAGTAAATTAAATAGCACACTCCGTATTATGGGGAAACATCCAACTGGATTCTGTGAGGATTGTCAAACCCCAGAAAAAGTAGAGCATGCAATTGTTAATTGCAGAAAATATGAAACAGAGAAAGAGTACAATTATTAAAAATATGGAAAGTATATGACTAACTGGACATGACATACTGGAATGTAGTGGAAGAAAACAATAAAGGCAATATACTAATGTATAATGATGAATGTACAAGACTAATGATGAGGATTTTACATTGCTGTGTGTAGGACTTAGTTAACTCCAGAAGTTGCCAGTAGTACAACATAAAGGATGCAAGCTACGGTTAAAACTCGTTGAAGAAGATAGTGAAGAAGAAGAAGAGGAAGAAGGGGATCGTGACACACCGCTTACCCACTGGCACATCTTATCACATTCTCTGTTTTTACAGGCCATTGCTGGAGTACTATAATTCATAATCACTACATGCATATTCTAATGAAGTAATGCAGACAATTCACGATTACTCATGTAGACATCTGTTTTTATTCATATTTACTTCTTTTGAAAAGCAAAGAGCTCTTGATATGAGTTACTCTACAGTCACATTTCAGACACAATATTACCACTCATTTAAAATCTCTCGGTAGAAAAGAAAAACATTGTCTGGTTCAAGCACAATAATAAGCTACATTCACAACGTTCACTTCATAAATAAAGAAATAATACATAAAGGCGCACAGCACACACACATATACACATACATACGCCCTCCTGGTGTCCTCCTCCAAGACTCACTCTCAAATTAAACAGAATATTTTAGTCCCTGACAAACATATTAAGGCCTCTTTCAAATCTGGTATTGCCCCTGGAGGAAAACATTGAGTCTGCAAATGCCTAAAGAGGGAATAATTCTTCTGGAGATGAATTTCCATGGACCCTTTTCACATTTCCGGGGTTCCAAGAAGCGAAAGGCATCATAGTTGGGTAAACTTCTTTAGTGGTGAACGTAAAATACAATATTTTTTTTTACGTTCCCATTTGCTCCACTAGCAAAAGAAAAATCCATGATAACATTTCTATGACCTTCCAAAAGATTCAAAATTTTGCCATTAGCTACTCCATCGATTGTTGTATTAAAAAAACACAACAGCATTAACCAGTTTTCTGTAAACCAATGCCAAGGTAATATAGCACAAAGTATAGTGTTATACATTTACGTTAATAAAAAAAAATGAAAATATAAAAAATGTATGATTCAATCATTTGTGATTGAAGTGTGGAAATGTCTCATCACCGTCAATGAAAAGGGTCCAAGGTTTTTCTCTCTTCCGGCCACCAGAGGGCAGTCATACAATCTTCTCTGTAATGATGAGGTCATGCTTTAGTGTAAAACTAAGCCCTTCCAATGTGCATATTTTGTTGAAAATAAGCAAATCAGGCAAAGCAGAGACATAGCTTGAAGAAACATATTTGCTCAAACTAGTAAACAATCCATTGAACAATCCAAGCATCATTTACACTGTTGACCTTCATGGTTCCTCAGCAAGATGACCTCTTGTTTAAATGAGTAAAAATGAGAATGAAACTAAGTAAAACATTGATCTCATGTTAATAAATTAAATTAAAGATGGGGATTGTTTGAGTCGTGGTGACTGCTTATAGACCCGGACGACTCCAGTTACACAGTGCATAGAGTCCTTAAGTATCAGTCTGCAGACTGACACGTACACACACAAAATCACACGCACACACACACACACACACACACACACACACAGTCCTGCTCATTCAAGAGAGGTAGTAGTTCATGTTTCTCTGTCTGTCTTTGTCCATTTCAGTTTGTTAAATCCATCTCCAGAGCAGCACAGCCTCTTTCGAGGGGAGTGATGGATGGAGGAGCCCTTATGGTGAAGCTCAATCTGAGCTTGGAATAAAACTCATCCCAGGCTTCACTCCACTTCACAAGCCACGACCATAATTTAATTCCAGTGTGTCTTTGGCCTTGGTTAATAGGCCTGGGATAGAGTCCCATAGTCCTCCAAGCATGTAGACCTTGACCAATGTGTAGTTCAACAGCAGCAAAGGGATTTATTTTATCCAAGACTTGTCCGTTTCATAATCACATGCGTGAAGATGTCGCCAATTCATAGAACAGCACATATGCATCGCTGCTGCGCACCTGGCTGGATGACATGGGGCTCACCCTGAAATAGAATTTAAGAATTTTTGTTATGCTAAAAACAAAATATATGTTAAACAAAAATACAAATATAATATAATATCTAAAGACTTCTAAAGTGACTTAAATATCCCATGTAGTTACATTATAGCCTAGAATGTTGTTAAATACCTAACAGATCTATGTTAGGTAAATAAATACGATTAAAACATTAATGCACATGCTTAGTTCGGTCATTCCTACAATTTGGTGGATTATGGACTGAGCAGGTTTGTTGAAATCATTTTTAAAATTCAATTATTTTTAAGTCTTGTCAGAGGGAGAAAAGGTCTGTCTGTCATAAACTCACACTGGTCAAGCTCATTCTAATATAACATAATAATCCTGATCAAATATTTCAAATTTCACGTTAACATTCGGTATTTGACTTGTCAATCCTATTACAGGACATGTTTACAATGCAATGTGTAACAGGGTGGACGTTTATTAGTTTTATTAAGCTAATAAAGTATACAACTAGCTAATAAAGAAATTTATAGGAAATATATATGTAAACTTTTTCCAAAGTGAAGTGAAAGCATGAATCGGGATATGGGAATTTGTCTGACAAGAGCTGCAAAACAAAATTCTTAGGTAATAATCATTATGAAATTGTGTTAATTGGGGTGTATCTATGCATGGAAATACATGTAGCAGTGAAGTTAGATAATATTTTATGTATAATATGCAGTATTGTTTCATAGAGACATAAAATCCACCAAACTGTAGGAATAACTCTGTTGTAATTTTACTGCACAAACCTCTTTTTTTTATTTTTTTTTTTAGACATTTTGTCATGTCTAATTACCTGGAGTCATTGTACGTGTACCATTCTCCTGTACAGGGACTGCGGCAATATGCGGTATAATGGCCACCCAAAGATGTACCAGTGTGATTGGACACAGCATAAAGATTATAGATTGCATTTACTGTGAGTAGAGAGCAGGAAAGAGAAGAGAAACAACAACAATTAAACAATTATCTTGGAGCTACAGTATTGCTCAAACAACTCTACAGAATACAGGTGTCATAAATGATGATGATGCAGAACTCACCACTGTTATCAGAGGCAAATTCCCTGAGGTCCAGCTCTTTGAGGGGGAAATTTACAAAGGTGGAGAGTTTGCTGGTTCTCACACGACACTCAGAGAAACGCTTCAGATCTGAGATAGTTATGAGTCAAGGGCAAACAAATACAAGGCACTTTTTATCGAATCCATAACTTAATGATGTTATGTAATTAATTCATCAATACATGTTAGTAATAAAGAATGCAATTCTTTGTATTGTGGTTTTGTTTAAAAAGGATACGAAGCACCAAGATTTTGGGAAATTTCTGAATGGTAAATTTTTTGGTGCATTTTCTTCTGGATTTACATCTGTGGCATGTCTGCAAAAAAAGAGAGGTTAGGATATGTCTAAATACTATATACATACACAACATTACTTAACTAACTACATTAATTAACATGAAATAACAATAACATACTTTAAAATACATTCCTCAGATCTCAGTTAACCTTAATTTCAACTTTTACAAATACATTATTACAATTGAAAGTGATTTTTTTGTATTACTTAATGGACCAATTGACAACAACAATTTGTATTTTTATTAACTAATGTTAAAGAAAGATTAAGAACTGTAACAAATGTGTTGGTCATTGTTAGTTAATGCATTAACTATGAGACCTTATTGTGAAATGTTACAATATACTGTATATATATATATATATATATATATATATATATATACAGTATATTGTATATATACAAAATAACCTTTTTAATCCATTAAAAAAGTTAAAAGTTAAATAAATAAGATTTATATATATATATATATATATATATATCCTGCACTTGTTGTAACTCAACAAATAAGTAGATGTATGACACTGACAACTTAAACTCCTTACTACAGACAGTCAAATGTTCTTTAATTAGTAATATGTAAACTTACTGGTCTCTCATTTCCATCTAGCACATCCTCCTTGGTGAAAAGTCGAAGACAATCGCTCAAACTCACTTCTCCTGAAGTCTAAGGAAACAAAAAAATAAAAACAACAACAAAATGAAACACACACGATTACACAAACATGCTGCCATGTCAATAAGCTTGTATTTGAGTGTGACAATCTTTATATTAACCTTAGTGATAGGCAAGGACAGATCCCAGAACGGATCAAACACAGTTGAGCAGAAGCCACACTCGCTGCACGTCAATGAGCTTTTCAGCTGACCAACAAACAGATCTGTGAAGAAATAAAACACTTTATAACTTTTAACCAGAGCAGGGAACACACACACACAGCAAGACAGTAGCCATTGTTAAAGGGTTAGTTCACCCCAAAATGAAAATTATGTTATTAATGACTCACCCTCATGTTGTCCCAAGCCCGTAAGAAAGTAAATATAGACATCATCAAAGTAGTCCATGTGACATCAGTGGGTTAAAAAGTTAGAATGTTTTGAAGCATCGAAAATACATTTTGATCCAAAAATAACAAAAACTACAACTTTATTCAGCATTGTATTCTCTTTCAGTTCAAGTCGAGTTCAGTGATGCTGATGACGTAAGACGCTGCTGACGTGCTATCTGGTGCGCCCGAGCTTCATTTACAGTCTGAGGGAGACATAAGCTGTAAAAAAAAACCCAATTATCGAAAAGCAAACATGTCGAAGAATTTCGACACAGAGGAAGACTTGCATTTTTTTTGCCCAGCCATATTTATTTGAACCCGAATACACGGACGCACCAGATAACACATCAGCAGCGTCTTACGTCATCAGCTTAACTGTGGACTGGTGAACGCGGCTTGACAACAGAACCGGAAATTTTAACTAACCCACTGATGTCACATGGTCTACTTTGATGCTGTCTTTACCTTCTTTCTGGACAAGGACAGTATACCATACACATTTTCAATGGAGGGACAGGAAACTTTCGGACGAAATCGAAAATATCTTAAACTGTGTTCCGAAGAGGTCTTACTGGCTTGGAACGACATTAGGATGATTCATTAATGACATAATTTTCATTAATAACCCTTTAATATAGCAGGTCAACTCACCGACTACTTTGCTGTCCTCACTCTCCAGGTACTTGTTCCACATTCTCTTGCCTTTCTCGTCATCCCTATTGATAAAACATATTTAATTTAAATCTCCAGACAGACTTCTCACTATTACTGTCAGATTGAAACAGTTAAACCACACACCACAGGTGATTCATCTGTTAGATCATTCACCACATCATATTACATCATATTTCAGCACAAAACTAAAACAAAGCAGTATTAATATGTTCCCAGAGGCCAATCATGTCTAAATCTGTTTAGAAATACATTATTAGCTTTCCTGAGGCCAATGGCTAAAATTTCAGTACAGAGATTATTCTTTCGGGGGCTCCAAACCAAAACCTAATGAGCTCCCTCGACTCCCAAACAAAAACATACTACGCACGCATCAACTTCATGCTCCACACAAATAGCGCTCTGTGCAGTTCTCTTACGAGACGTTCTCTCGTATTGTGTAAGCTAGCTCAGTGGTTCTCAAAGTGGGGTCCGCGGACCCCTGGTGGTCCGCGAGCTAAAGCCAGGGGGTCCGCAAAATAATTTACAACCTAACGTTTTTTTCCATGCTATGAGTCATGTTTTCTTTATCATCTGAAAACATGCTGTTTATTCCTAAGTAACTTATATAAAGCATTTAACATAAAACAATACAAAGTAGACACTTAAAGTTTTCTATACATAGATAATCTATGTCTTTGCGTCAAGTAGACTATTCGCTGCTGTTGATTTTGCGGGACGTGCGCCAGAAAGGAGACAGAGAGACGGCATGAACCCGCATCCGGTTCTTTTCTGTATTTTTAAAAGGCATGACATTTTGTAGTCATTTATAATGTAGCCTATACACAAATAAAAAAATGGACACTTTACCGTTTCGGATGATGCACTCTTGTCTTATCTATGACCATAAATAAGAGTATTCCTGTTTCCACTGCTGAGGAAAAATTCCCATGTAATTGCGCGCCGGCGTCTCGCGTGCGCGCACAATAGTTAGTTCTAGCACTGCTACTGTAGATTTGACATTAGAAGTCTGATCATTATCAAAATAAAAGTGCATAGTGACAGGGCCGTACCCACAACTGAGGTTGCAAGGATGCACATCGCGATGATACTGACCTTCTCGTCTGAGGTGCTTCAGCAGACTAACAACGATAGCTCGTCAATGTCAAAATGTTTGAGTCGGAGTGAACTCAAAGTTCCCCGCACAACGTTTCAGTCAACGGTCATAAAGTGCGAGATAAGATGTAGGCCTTAATTAACATAAACTAAACAGCTGTTTTAGATAAAAGTTTTAAAAAACGACTGAAACAATCAGTTTGCAAAGTATTAATCATGCTCAACTTTAACAAAGGAAAAAGCAGGTCAATAGAAACATACTGTGCCCATGAGATTAACATTATGGATTCATATATTTAACATATACTGTATGTTTTTTTTTTAGCTAATTACAGTAGCTCAAATTAACAACGCACGCACCTATTAAACATAATGCCATTATCATTGTATTTATAGGCTTATGGGCTTTATTTGTGTGCAGAATAGGCCTAATTATTGAAACATTTCTCTTTTAAGGCCATTCCTGATTGGAATATGTGATTGTGTTTCGTGACATCTTGACAAAAAAAAAAAGTATGCCACTGACTGACATGCTTCTACTAAATCTATAGTTATCCAATTGTGGGGCCTTAAAACACCTTAAAATGCACATGTGTAGATCAAGAACATCAAAAATTCCTAAGTGAGGGATCCTAAGTGATTCCTAGCAAGATCACTTTCGTTACCTCAGTAGGCTATTTAGAAATTCCTGCATAGTACCCTGGGTGGAGACCATTCATTTTGTGCAAAAATATTTCATTTGCCGCTCACACATTAACTTTGTGCTCAATAACTGTTATAAATATGAGGGGGGTCCTTGGAATTTTTTTTCCCCTGAAAGGGGTCCCTGGCACCAAAATGTTTGAGAACCCCTGAGCTAGCTTACGCTACGGGAAAGATTAATCTTTTCTGAGAAGTTGAAGCCAAAAAATTATCCTTTAATTTTGTATCCATTGTCAACGCAGTTCATCTACAGCAGACCATGAGCGGGCTAGCTAGCAGCTCATTGGTTCGCTCAGGGAGAGCTGCAACAGCCTATGAGGGAACTCGGTTGAACTCGCAGCCAATGAGAAGCTGACACGCTCTCATTGCGTCAAAGCCCGCCAAAACGGCGTGGCCCGAGTCTATAAATAGGCGAGTTTCCCGCTGTTTTCCGATTTTCATCAATTCAGCGAGGCTATACGCACCTGCTGATATCCGAGAGGAAGTCGCGTCGCTGTCGAGAAGGCATCTCTTAGCAAGCGTGGACAGAGTCTGAGGAAACGGCCGTCTTCGCCACCTTCAGTCATCCTGTGTCTTTACTGCTGTGACTCAGTGGTAAAACACAAAGCTTTTCGCGCCAGAGACCCGTGTTCGATTCCGGCTCTTGCAGATAATTTTATGCAGCTCTGAGCTCGCGGCCAACTTTCTTACTTTACAGAACGTGGCCGCCCTCTCTCGCGCACATGCGTCAGCGGCGACATGAGAAACGAGTGTGTTTTTAGCCCGCCGAGGCCGGTTAAGCACCCATCTCTCTAACGTTTCTCTTTCCTCGTTTGAGTGGCCGAAAATTTCTATATTGCAGCAACGAGCCTGTCATAACATGAATGCCTGCAATAACGCCGACAGATTAAGATTGACACTATTTCTGTTCAAGTGTAATAGGTGCCCACACCCCTGTGCTCACCCATATTAAAACACAGTATTCCCGTGTCTAACAGAGCCCACTCTCTTAGCTGGCTATGCCGCTAGAGTGTTATCTGTAACAGATGTGCCCACCATGACTGTGCTCACATCTTTCTGCCCGTTCTATTACACGGCCAGGTCGCGCACATCCCAGCCTCTTCAGTCTCGTGCCCACTTGCAGCGCTCACGTTTCTACATGCACGCGGCCCCTCGCGCGTCACAAGTGCAGCCTTTTCAGGCTATATATAGTCTTCTGCCACTTACAGCGCTCATATTTCTAACATGCACTTGCGCAGCCTTTATCAGGCCAAAATTCAATCAGGCATAAGTGCATAATGTCTGGCTTATGCCAAACATGCTATAGGTGTAGTATATGTGCCCACAGTTCAGTGTTCACTCCTACACACAAACACCACACTCGCTCCTCATTCACGTTTATCGGGAAGTCACTCACTAAACAGCCATTGGCTGTTCGCGAGCCGTGTACTGTAAGCGCCCTCACACACTTGTTCAGCCCGCTATGTGTATACACATACATGTGTATGTATACACGCGTCTTTTGTGTAGAATATGTGCCCACAATCCTGTGTTCGCCCTTACACAAAACCACAACACTCCCCGTGTCTCTGTCAGAGCCCACTCACATAAAGTGGACACTGCCCGCTCGAGTGTCAGAGTTCATAAGCGCGCCCACGAGCCGTGCACGTGTCCCTTCTCTGTATAAAAGCCTCTTGTGTAGAAAAATGTGCCCACAATCCTGTGTTCACCCATACACAAAAGCACCACATGTCCCGTGTCTCTCTCAGAGCCCACTCCCATAGAGCGGACACTGCCCGCTCGAGTGTCAGAGTGCATAAGCGCGCCCACGAGCCTGTGTGCGCGTCCCCCCTCTGCCCGCTCTGTTACACGGCCCGTAAACTCCTCTCTGAGTGTAAGTCCCGTTGCCTTAAACATTCTAGCGTGCCCACACACTGTGTCCAGCCCGCTATGTGCAACAATCAGGGCGATATAGCCATTCACCCGCTAGTGTCACGCTTCTAAGCGTGGTAAGCTATTCCGGGAATCTCCCCATGGGAGCTAAGCACAATAGAATATGGCTATCTGTTACAGTTCCGTCGCCGCCGTCCACTCTTCTGGGTGCGGCTCGAAAGTACAGTGAGTTCAGAAGCAGCAAAAAAGGGCTATAGAGAGAGTTCCACCCTTTATGAGCGAGTCGGGGTTTTACGGCCGTTATTTTCTTGTCCCCAAGAAAGACGGCGGCCTCAGACCAATCTTAGATCTCAGATTTTTGAACAAAGCACTCATGAGGAGACCGTTCAAAATGCTTACAGTCAAGAAACTCCTCGCGCATGTACGCAAGGGGGACTGGTTCATCCCTCTAGATCTGAAAGATGCCTATTTTCAGATCCAGATAAATCCCCGTCTCAGGCCTTTTCTACGTTTCGCTTTCGACGGCCAGGTTTATCAATACACCGTCCTCCCATTCGGCCTATCCTTAGCACCCTGTACGTTCATGAAGTGCATGGATACGGCGCTCGCCCCCCTGCGGAGTCAGGGGCTGCGAATTTTGAACTATTTGGACGACTGGCAGATTTTGGCACAATCACAGACGGAGTTACTGTCTCATTGTACAGTTCTCCTCGACCATCTGAACACATTGGGCCTCTCTGTCAACTGGAAAAAGAGCTCACTTCAGTCCAGTCAGACGATTTCCTTCCTGGGAATAGCTCTAGACTCAGTGGCTATGACGGCTCGCTTATCTACACAGCGCACGCGCCGTGTTCAGCGTCTCGCCGCATCCTTTCATATGGACACCCTCACACCTCTGAAAACTTTTCAGAAGGTGCTGGGTTACATGGCCTTAGCCTCCGCAGTGCTCCACCTGGGTATACTGCGCATGTGCCCCCTTCAGCTTTGGTTGAAGAGCCGTGTGTCTCACCGTGCGTGGACCACGGGCCTCCAGCTGATCAAAGTTACGCAGACCTGTATCTCGGCTCCGCAGCCATGGACAGTGGGAGAATGGTTTCAACGGGCCGTCTCTCGCCGAAAAGTCATTTTGACAGACGCATCCAACTCAGGTTGGGGCGCAGTCTGCAAGGGCTCACCGGCCTCTGGCCACTGGTCAGTTCAAGAGAGCTCCCTACACATAAACTGTCTGGAGATGATCGCGGTCGAGAACGCGCTCGCGTTTTTCTTCCCGCGCATTCGGGGTCTCCACATATTGATCTGCTCGGACAATACGGCTGTAGTCTCCTATCTCAACCGTCAGGGCGGTGTCAGATCCAAGAACCTCTTCCTGCTGACGAAACGCATTTTAGTTTGGTCCCAGAGCCACCTGCTCTCGCTTAAGATGTGCCGTGCCATCTTAACGACGGCCCAGACAGACTGTCCAGGAACCCCATCTATCCGGGAGAATGGTCCCTGCACGTTCAAACAGTCTAGAAACTGTGGCAAATATTCGGCAGAGCAGAGGTGGATCTCTTCGCGTCAGAGGAGAATGCTCACTGCCCAATATTTTTCTTAAAGAGCGAGGACACGCTAGCCCAGGAGTGGCCCAGCCACCCGCTTTATGCATTCCCTCCGGTCTCCCTATTGCCACAGGTCTTACAGAGGATCAGGGAAACACGCCACTGTCAGCTGTCGCAGACAGCCCCGTAGCCAATTCCAGTCAGAGCAGATCTCTCAAGCTCGCGGCGTGATCTGACTCATACAACCGGCGTGCCGCTTGTTCTTCCCTCGTGCTTATGTACTACACAATCCCGGCCCGCTTGCTGGCCCTTTCATGCTCACGTACATTATTAATTCCCACTTACAAGGGTCCCCCTGAGCGAACCAATGAGCTGCTCGCTAGCCCGCTCATGGTCTACTGCAGATGAACTGCGTTACATTTTTACGATACACGTGATGCTGCCTTAGAATTTGTCAAAAATGAAGTCTTGTAAGTTGGCTTATAAATTCTTATAAAGGTCTTATACATAAATTTGAAACAACTTAGCTTTAAACCATTGCTAATTTTGAAACCATAAACATTGCTATTTTTAAAACAACAACAAACATGATGGGAAGGTTTTTAGAACCTGCTTGGTGTATCTACGTACGAGAGGTGATCAAAGTCCTCCATGCTGGTTCTGGGTTTCACTATCACTCTGTTTACTTCGTTATGGAGACCATCCAGGAGAAACCGCAAGAACTCCTGAGCATCCTGCTGACTACACGACAGAAAACAGAAGGGAAAGAAAGTATATTTTTAAGGGCGAGTTTCAGCTAATTCCAAACTACATATTGAAGAAAACAAGTTAAATATGATGTTAGCATAATACAAAATGTTTTACTGTAGCTGTAACTTACTTGTAACCAACGAATCGAGGGGCGTATTTCTGGATCTGCATTTTGAAGTCAGAAGGGCTGATGGCCTCACTGCTAGCAGATGTCCAAAGAGTCTGAGTGAGCTTAGCAAACTCTGAAAACAGAAAAACACACATACTGTAGGAAGACATTTGACTAAGACACAGGACCCAAGGCTTCCTTGTCTGCATGATATGAATGCTCTACTATATGAACTGGTAAATGCGTCTCTTACCCTCCATTAGAGCAGCTTTGACCCTGCAGTTGTTGTTAAGGTCAGTGCGGTGCGAGTTACGCAGACAGTAGTCCCTCAGGTCATGAGTGTTGCTTAGACATTGCAGTACGGAGTTCATGAAACACTGCAGAGACACATTCAACAGAAGGCCAATTAAATGGTTACTCCGCAAACATAGTCTGCATTTCGATTAAATATTTCAAGTCAAAACAAAACAGAAGTAGCATCAGGGGCCTCATTTATAAAACTTTGCGTAGGATTTGCGTCAGAAGTGGCGTACGGATGAAACATAGGACGTGCGTACGCACAGAAATATTCGGATTTATAAAACCGTGCGCACGCACATCCTACGCATTTTTCCCTTAATAAATCACAATCAATTCTAAATGTAGCGCAGCTTTTGCGGCTTCATGTCACACCCATAGTTGCCCATAAATAGTCCGTGAAACGCCCACAAGTTAATATTCATCAATTGCGAAATCATGTTAAACACAGAGACGAATTTAAAAAAAAAAAAGTAACTTCACTCAATGTGAAGTAGAAGTTATCGTTGGCGAGGTGGAAAAGAGGAGAAAAATTTTGTTTGGAGGGCACAGTGTGCATTACTAATGGCAAAAAGGCACTTGAGTGGCAAAAGGTTGCAGACGCAGTAAATGCTATAGCCTCACAACCTCGGACTGTGGCCGAAATAAAAAAGAAATGGTCGGACATCAATGTCGAGGCAAAAAAGCGTCTAGTCATTAATTCAATTAGAGAGGTGGCCAAGGAGTTGGGCGAAATCAAGACTGTCCTAACTGAAATAAACTGCACAATGAGGGAATTATTGAATAAATAATATATTTTTTCCACAACTTTTGTTGTGAAGATGATGCGTTCACTCCGAATCATTCCATTTAATCGCCACATCTTCTAAGAGCGCAAGATCAGCCACTGTGCGTCATTATACGCATTGTGATGGGGCATTTCATTTACATCCATTTAATTCTGCATCTGACAAGCTAGGCTACGGATGTCGGTTATAATCTAAATGGGAAATGGTTCAGCGCAAATGTAATTTCTTGCAGCTTTGAGACATACGTCATACGTTAGCCTATTTTATCAAAAATAAAACAAACTAAAGGCATATACATGAATACCATGATTCCGTAGTTGATGAAGATATTTTTACGATGAAAACAACTTTCCCCAGTGGATAAATAATACATCTATCCATTTATCGATCTATCTATATATCTCCCTAATTATCTATCTATCTGACTTACTATCTAATTGCTATATCTGCTCCGTTAGACGGACATAGGCCTATTGGCGAGAATATTTCGTACATTATTTCGTTCTGTTTACCATCTTATTTATGAGGATGAATTGTATATGCCAATATTATTGCAGAACATATTTCACTTTCTTTTTGGAAATATGTGTTAATTTGCATTTCTGTTACAGATCGATCAAACGGGTGTTCGTGTAGGCTGTTAATTGTAAGACTTGCTTTGTGAAGTCTTCGTGTTATTTATGAGAGGCAGTATTGCCATTTATTTTACACAACCGTTTACAGTTTCAAACACTTTTACGTGTTTTTTCCAACTGCTGACGGTGTCGCCATTTCTCATTTCACCCGTTTTAAAAAAGCGTACGCCTGGGTCAGAGATTGCGTGAAGGACCGCACATTTTACCGTCAAGTTTGCTTTTTAAAATACCAACTATTGCGTAGAGAGCGGCGTACGCCTTCTTTTGTGCGTACGCAAAGTTTATAAATGAGGCCCCTGATCTTTTTTTGTATATTTCTGACATACATCCACGTGTAACGGATTATTGAAAAAGATTCAAAATTATGAAGTGATTTTTTTAAATGAAACATATACATGTATGAACTGCATTTGCAAAATAGATTGTGTATACGTCGACTTTAAAGGAACAGTTCACACAAAAACATAGACATATTCAGTTCTTCAAAAGATCTTTTATGTTCCACAGATGGAAGTCATAAAGGCGAGTAAATATTGACAGAATCTTTTTTTTTCTTTTTACATGAACTATATATGGAACCATACTTACAGTATTTCCTAGATTCCTGAGGCCCACCAGACCCTGAGCATTCTTTGAGTTCTGCAAGAGAAAAACAGCAAAAGGGTTAGTGAGCTTTCTAAGATAACCATTGAATCCAATGACACTAGATTTATAGCAAAACATTGTTAATAAATTGAAATATGACTAAAGCACATGACTCACTCAGGCCACATAATTTGTTTGGCACAGATACTGACAGTGGAGTGAAAGTGCATGTTTAAGAAGAGAATTGTGTCTAATAGAGACTTAAGTGTTATTTTCATTGTATGCATGCCACAAAAAAATCTAATTAAAAGTGTTTCTGAGTGTTTTGTTATGTTTTTTGTTATATCAAATGACATAACAGGATACTGTACTGTATAATGAGTATATATGGCATTATTTTTCAGAATTATTATATAGCTTTGAGGATAAATGTGTGTGAGCTAAAGCGTTCTCTCTGGGTTATTAAATTGCATGTTAGCAAATTTAGACAGGGACCCCTGCTGTTGAAGACTTGACACAAACAAATTATGCCCATCTGCCACAACACAACAAAAACGACTTTAAGTAATTTATTCGGCGAGGGATGAATCATCACTTTTTGGTCAAATTTACTGTAATGATATATATTTAAATCTTGCAGAGGAAACTGTTTCACCAATCAAAATTCAGACAGCTGGGAATGATGATGATGATGATGATGATGATGATTTCACATAATAATATGATATTCTCGACATAAGTGGTCAGCATGTTGACATGACATAACACGGAACGCTTCAGAGAACATGAGTATGAATCTCACGCAACACACTTCGAATCAGTGACATCAAGGCCTGGAATAGCAGTGCTCATTCTCATGTGCGTCATTCACTGATTGCAGTGTTAACTATGTGATGTTACAATAATGACTGCAATGCTCGGAAGAACTCATCAAAGTTCCAAATTTGCAAGCGTCCCCTCGGACAGGTGATTTTGAAGTCTGTAAGTGTTTGAGAAAGTGTGTGTGTGACTGAGATTCAAAATATGAAAGTTGCTGGTGTGCTAGGCGGCAGCCTTGAAATTAGAGTTGTTACAGCTAACTAAAACTAAATCTATTGAAAATCAATTAAAATAATATGAATATTAGAACAAAATTGATTAAAACGTAAATTGAACATAAAATAAAAAGCTAATTCAAAATAAATAAATGTTATAATAGAATACAAATAATACTAAAATATCATTCAAAAGTTAAAGATTGTGGTATTGGTATGCTCTCTACAGATGAGTCACTGACTGTACAGTGTGTGTCAGAACTGTATAGCATGTGTATCACATATTTTTCACTGATGTGATAGTTGTTCACACTATGCAAAAATTCCATAACAATAAAATAACATACACGCATATGCAGAGTAGAGGAATAAGTATCATAAACCGATTACAATTTTATAAAATAAGAGGTGAACTGCTATCACAAAAACATTATTTTAGTACTATTTGAGCTATGGACCACTATATAAACAGTTCCATGTTATTATGAAGGTTGTCTTGATACATCTTCATATCTTTGAATTAAATGCTATCATTTTAAAGTAATCATTCAGTAGTACCATGAGTATCTGAAAATATGAAAAATGGGACAAATTTGAGCTGCTATAAACTGTTTAAATATGTGTCTTAAATAATCAAGAACACAAATAAAGGATGTTGAAAAAAAATCCACATTAAAGTATTAAAGAGCTGAGCCTCTGGATACCATCTGATACCATCACTGTCACAGTATGCTCGGACAGATAGAATACACTTCAATTAAATGTAATGAAGTACACCAATCAAACACCTTCTATTAGCATCTCTGAGGAGGACAGACACATCAGGTTCAAACATGTTCAGCTGTGACTTATCCCAGGAGTTTTTCTCTTATTCATATATTCATCCAAACATCTGATACGCTTTTTCTTCCCAGAAGAAAATGAGAGAGGGGGGAACAGATGGTCCAAGGGCTCACTCCGCTGCCTAGCCGGTCTCTGGCTTTCACACCCAGCCCTTAAACTAAACAGATTGGTATGACAACAGCCAGCACCCAGCAGCAGCCATGGGTACGGCAAGCGTAAGGAGTTCTGCCTCGAAAGCGATTGGGTAACAAGAGGGCAGCAGGATTTCACACTCACTGTCTCTTGAAAGATCTTCGGAGGGCTGCAAGCTAATTGGCTGGCGCGAGTTAAAAGCGAGTGAGTAGGAACACTGTGTCCTGACCTTCGTTTCTGGAAGCCACGGCTATCACTAAGAACTCAATGTGCTCTAATGCCAAAAGGCTGGTCACATGAGACATTTTATTCAAGCAGACTCCAGAGGCTGAGTTCTTTAATACCTTAACGTGCATTTATGTACCCATATTTCAGTTTATACTGTTAAAAAATAAAGGACACATTTGGGAGAAGTTGGGACACCTCTAAGGAACTGTCTCATCAGAAATGGGACATCTGGTTGCCGTAACTTAATCTCAGCCAATGTTGATGATAAGCCACGCCATTTCATTTCACTGTTATCTTGAAAATGATTAGAAATCTAGATGGGCAGGATAGAGATTTTGTGTAAGGTCACAGGCATGTGAAGAACAGGACCTTTGGCAATTCTTGGAATGTAATCGCTAGATACACGGTTAACACATATTTCTTTAGAAAGGCATTAGGAGTCCATTTGCTCCTGAATGTTACATAATGTTATGTTCTGATTTTTCATTGTTGCATAACAAACACTGGTTACACTGGGTAATGTGGTTATCATCACTCCAATAATTTATGTTAAGCCCTTTGAAATGTGTTGTTGTAAAATACTGTAAAAATTAAGGTTTTCTCATTATGGATTCTTAATTTTATGGATTATTCGCTGCGATTGAACATTTCTTGGGGGCCCACTGAAAATTTCAGAGAAAATAAAGGTGACTGAATATTATTTACAGAATTTGATTGAGTTTTCCGCTCATTCTAAGACTGGTCAGAAATCATTAGTTAAATCATTATTAATCTATTTACAGCCATAGTTTTTAACACATAAAGCAAGTATTTGTATATACATCTTTATATATTATATAATTTTGTAAAACATTATTTATTTATTTACAAGTTTTCATCTCTCCTTCCTTGCAACATTCTTTCGAGTATGTATAATGTTAAATCTGCTTTGAAACCGTATTTAAAGTGTAAGAAATAACAGTACTCTATTAGGTAAAAATTTAAATAAAAGGTTTATATTTTCAAGATATTTTAATAATTTCATTCTACACATACATAAAAATGTAATGAAGTCATAATTTAAAAGGGAAAAAGCATATTGGGGGTTGTTGGCAGTTAATGACAAAATGTGCTGTATTTACAGCATGGCAACAACATTTGTTAACATAAGGAATCTAGCTCAGTATTGAGAGTCATCTTAGTATGAATGTGTAGCACAGCACAAAAAGACGTAAAACTCCAAACAATTTGCCATTCTGAGCTAAATATAGCCCTTAGCAATCATCAGCTGAAAGATCCCCAAACGTATAGCCCTACAGCACAAAGAGGTGGTGACAATGCCTATAGTTATGTAGCCTGAACTAGGTCTACATCACAGATGACTCAATATCATCCTTTACTTTACACTCTAATTAACAGTGCTTAAGTGGTTTCCTGACTCCTCATGAATGTGCGCGACGCAACAGCTGCGCAAGTAGATGGCGTCAGTCGCTCAACGCAAAGCCAGCGGCTTAAAACGCAACTAAACAATGACCGGAGTTACGTAACAGTCCTCGCTAAGACCATTTACATTATTTTTATGTTATTGGCAGTGATACCGACGCGATAAACGTAAATCTTCAGTATGAAGCAGCATTATAAGTTTGAAAACACACTGAAGTAAAAGCTAACATGTGGGACCCGAGAACGCTGGTCATTTGGCAAGGTCAGAGATAGCAGCCAGCATCTGTAGCTACTGTATGCGCTTCTGTTGGGACACATCGGGGGACAAGTCAGCAAGACTCAAATTATTTAAATAGTAATAAAAAAATATGCATATTTCTAATGTGAGTGTGTCTTGTTGTTCCCTAAAAGGTAAACCTAAAAAACACAGGATGGATACTACCATATCAGATAATGGACTGAATTTAACGTAGATCTAATAATAGGCTAATAATAATAATTAAAATCAGAAAAAATTATTCTCACATCTCCATCAATTATTAGAGTTATTAATCTTTCTCACCCATAGCACATTTGTTTTGTGATGTCTGGTTTTTGCCTATTTAATATTTGGTACTTTTCTAAAAATCTGTTGTCATGTTTATCTCCTCATTTTGTACTTTTCTAAAAATCGGTTGTCATGTTTATCTCCTCAGGGGGTTCTAAATTGCAAAACATCTATGTTGATATCCTTTACAACCATTTCCTACAATAAACAATATCAATAAACAAATCAATATGGCGCTTCTGTGCTCACTTTTAAAGTTTAGTTCACAAAGCCAAAAACAATATGGGCTATAGCCTATTTAGTGATTTTGATGGGATATTCACAGTGATTTTACACTCAAAGATAATCTTCTACCAAGGTAGGAAAATTATGAGAAAACAGTTGACACGTTAAGTAATAGTCTGCATCACTAAGAAAGCAACGAGGCGTGAGTTTGTGAGTGTTATAGTTATAGGCTACTTGTACTTTGAGAGTTCATTTTCATGGCCAGAATATTCTCAAATACTTCCTCCGATATTAACTAGTTTCACCTCTGTTTAAGACGCAGTAGGATACATAAAGTCGAGATGACAACTCGAGCTGCCCGGTTTAGGCTTACCTTTGCCTGGTTAATAAGAAGCCCCACAAACGTGGACACCAGCATAGAGCGAGACATCGTCGGACTTTTTCTGCGCATATCCTGTTTGATAAAGGGGAAAGCTGAAGCCGGTGGTTCCTCTGGGACAGTGACCGTGTATGACTGTCTTATACTCGGCATTGTGACTGGAGAAAACTAGCGAAATAAACGGCGCAATGTCTCAATATGACTTAACACGAAAGCCAGAGTATTCCTGCGTATCAGTAAAGAT